GAAAGAGCTTGAGAAACAGGCAGTGGCAGGACACCATTACAAACTGTGGCTGAGTCTGAGGAAGTGAATGTCTTTTCTGTTGAGAGCCCCTGTAGTCCTCAGGAATAGTTAAGAAACTAAGGGATGGAGATAAGAAAAGAAAGCAGCTTTGTCAACCCCAGGGATTAAAAAAAAAATCACGAGTTGAGCCCTTGAACAGTATGAAATTGGCTGAAAAAATATCATAGCTTTGGAAGTACTTTTATTTGCTCTGGGTTTTGAGTCTTTAGGAAGCCATCACTTCACATTTTCGAGCTTTCCTCTACCACCTGGAGGTTAGAAATTTCATTAAAAAATACAGGGGAAGATGCTCCTGCAATCATTTGACTTCAGCCGTTAACCCTTCAAGAAGATCCCCATAAAGCTGAGGGTAAGAGTGTGATTAAAAGACCAGGTTCCCTCTGGTCTGAAGAGGAGAGGTGTCTCTTCAGCCTGCAGTCCAGGCATCATAAAACACAGTCACTGCCTCATCATTATTAGTGTTACTAGAGACAAGCTGCTTGTGTCCTTTAGGCAACTCTGTTGCACTGTCAGAGGCCTGGGAGGTGCAGAGCACAGGAGCCAAAGGCTCTCCAGGTTGCAGCCCATGGGGAACACAACAAGCAGAGCAGCTGAGCCTGCTGCCCGCCGGCCTCCCACAGCCCTTCCCAGCCTCCACCACCAGGCGTCTTTCAAGCAGTCGGTCACAGCAGCAAATCCAGGGGAATGAAGCGTGCCTATCGTCGAGATCAGGGCCCTGAACTCTGGTTTTTTCCCATCTCTTTGTCTTCATGGTACCTTTCTACGAGTTGTTTTGAAACAAACTCTTTGGTGTGAGTCTCAGGCAGCCCCCAGCACCCCACCTTTGGGGGAGGGAGCAGGAGTGCACCCAGTGTTGATTTTGGCATGCTCTGGTGAACTGGTGGGTGTGCAGCTCCTGTGCTGCACGCTGGAGAGGAGGAAGCCCATCTTCAGACTGCATGTTGTTCGTTCAATGCTCTTCCCACAAGCTAAATGATTCTAAAGAGACCATAATCTCATCGGTGATGGTGTCTTTTAGCAGACAGACGTTCTGAATTAATGTGTGTGAACAAGAGAACCATATCCCAACTCTACAGGCCTCTTTCAACCTTCCTTTCTATAGAAAAGATGTCCAATTGTGTGGGCTGGAGATGCTCAACACCATCCTGCAGACTCCTAGTCTGGATGTCCAGCAGAACGTGGTTGCAGGACAGCCGGCCCTGTACCCCAGGAGGTCAATTTTAGCGCCAGCTAAAAAAGAAATCATCTGATGACTCTTTCCGTGAGTGCCTTGTGCCTGATGAAGGCAAACCTCCTAAAAAGACAACTGGTCTGGCTTTGAGGATGTCAGGAGATGGAGTGTCCCCTCCTGGTCCTAAAAGAGAATTGCACTACTACAAAATCTCAAAGGAAACGCTGAAGCAGGTTTACACGTGAAATGCCGATTCTGCGGCAGAAATGCCCAAGGTGAAATATTTGCATCAGGATGTGAATGTCTCCAAATTTATTGGGGATTTTTTCTCAAGCTGCCTTTAAAACCATCTCTCCACCTCCCTTTAGTACATGCTACTAAACCTCCACCTTTCTCATGCTAAAACAACCAAGTTCTAGTTAAAGACTGGTCATTCATGTGTAAGATCAAGCTCGAGTGCTGGGGTTGCAGAAGTCAGAGCAGAGCCAACTCCTCACATGGGCATGACAACGTTGCCTGTAAGTATTTCTTCAGAGTTGGTGCTGGCAGGAAGGACACAGACTTAAATATCTGCAATCCTGAAAATGCTGAAGAGCACCGTGGTGTTCTAACACGCTGGGCTCTACCTCCCAGTGGTCACTAGCATGTCGTATAGAGAAGGAAGAGCAACATGAATGTCACCAGTCACAAAGACAATATCCTATGTGACTTTTAAGCCATCAGTCTGCGACTGACCTAACTCAGTGAGCATTTGGTCCTCAAACAGAGAATATGCCATAAGTTCGCAGGCACAGCCACTGTCACTGCTGCATGGGAAACAAAGCAGGCCCTCCCGAACCTCTCGACACCTCAAATGCACTTTATAGCCAGTGTTTCTCACTCAAAATACCTATTTGAAGACATGGAAGCGTCACAGGGTTCACTAACCAGAACATGGGCAACACATTCACTAAGCACTTGCCACACTCATCAGTCCCAGACTCTCAGATCCTATGAGCAAGGTGCTGGGAAGGCACAGCCGGGCATAGTGTCTCCTTGCATCAGTCCCTGGCTCAAGGCAGCGAGTTGTTCAGAGTGAATGGGAGAGGCTTAGGGCACATTATCTTCCTGACCCCATGAGCCACATATCAAAGTCTTTATAAGTCAAAGAGCCACAAAAATATACACTGCGCTGCAAAGAGAAAAAGTAAAAGGAAGCTCTGGGAGGCATCTGTAAGCAGGAGACAACAGCAGGTCCCCAGAGGTTGTGTCTTGTGAGAAAGGGTTGAGGCTGAGCATGCAGCTGGGTGCTAAGGCACCTCAGCAATGTCAGATGAGAGCCTGTGCTGGCTGGCCTCCTCTCACACCTGGGCATTCGTGTCACTCAGCAGCTCCTGTGACAGCCCAGCCCGGCTGCTGCCCACGTGGCAGAGCCTTGGCATGGGAAGCACACCAGAACTGGTTCTGAGCCGGAGCTGTAAGTGCTGGAGCAGAGAGGCTTGTGCTGCTCTGAAGGCACAGAAATAGCAGTGGCTGTTCAAGGTGGCTGACGATTAACCAATTCCCACACCAACTGCTCTGCTCAGCAGCCTCCATTTCTGCTGTTGTGGTCACAAGGAGATAATACTAATACGAACACAGAGCTGACACAGACAGACACAAGGAGATCACATGAACCTGCTCTGGAGCAGTCTGTACATCCCCTCCTTGGAAGATCCTATCCCAAGCAAGATCTGCTCTGAAACCCACAGTCTGTAATTGTGCACATGAACTCTCATGAACTTCAAAGAAGTCAGTGGGACTGCACAGATTTCAAACAAGTGTGAAAGGATAAGCAGACTCCCACTGTTTAGTGAGCCAAAATGCATTGTGCAAACAGTCTGATTCTGCTCTCACATCAGTTTTGCATCATTCCAGCTCATGGTTTTCAGTAGTAACCCTCAGCTGACATCCACGCAAGTGTTGGAACAAAAATAATGCTTATAGTCATCTTTCCTCATTCAGTTGTTTCTCCACAGCAGAATTTGTACCAGTGCAAGGTCCATTTCTATGTTTCTGTTCTAGACATTCTGAGCATGGTAATGCAATGTAAAAAGGCTGCACGTGATATGCACAGTTCACTGCAATGCAATGCCTTTCACCCTGACCTCCACAGCCCCCCAGTAGTAAAGTGAATGGGAAGAGAATGATATTAACAGATTACCCCTTCACTGGTTTTCTGCAAATCTGAAGAAGTGTTTCTTGTGTCATTGCCTGCGTCCCCAGCATCAGAGCTGCTCTTATTTTCTTCCTCTTTGCAGTCCTTATCATCTTCATCTCCAGGAGATTTCCGTGACTGCTTGGAGGATTTCTAAAATGACCAACAACAAAGTTAACAAGTAAAAACCAAGCTTCAGTCAAAGAAAGACACCTTTGTAACGTATGTGGAATACTGTCTGGGGTGAAAAGTGTCTTTAAGGTGAAGCAGTTGGAATTACTGCCATCAATGAAGCAAAAGGAGAAATTCTGTGCTCAACACAGGTTGGCAGCACAACTGACTGTAAGAGACACAGTAATAGGAGATGGGTATTAGTGTTGGGTCACCTGTAGGTTTTGTTAGTTAATGAAACAGATGGTGTCAGCTTGACAAAAGTTTTGATTAAACACAGAGATGTAAAATGAGAATAACATTAGCAGAGCTGCTTTCCATACTTTTTTTTAGTGCTGTCAGCTTCAATATATTAACATTAAAGCCATGTGGAACCAATATATCTTTTCTGCTCCCTTTATGTTATGCAATTCTACAGTACAAAAGGATAAATTGTGGCATTAAGCCACCATTTTCCTAATCCTCTGTTTGCCCAGAGTCTTCTGGAAAGAAGATGGTAGACCAGACCCGAATTTCTAATGCAAAACACACAAAGGGGGTGAAATTACTTAATACATTATGTTCAGTGGATGAACCACAAAAACTTCTGCTCACCCCCAAACTGAACCTGGATGAGATTGTTTGCTTGCTTCTTTTCATTTCATTAGGTTTCAGTTTCAGAGAAGAATACCATGAATGTGAATCAACATGACTCTGCCACAATTCCCACAATTTTTTAAACAAAGTACAGACCTGGAGGCACACACAGAACCAGAGGAAGTGACTTTAATGCTGCTCCTGTTCACCCAGGTGACAAGTGAGAAGCGTATCTGAACCCCAAGTTGTCACCAGCCATTCTGAGGCAGTCTGAGACACACCGCTCCTAGCTTCCTCATCTACGTTGCTACTTAGATATTAACAGGTCAGGTAGGTACAGCAATGAAGGTCTTTTGTCTACAAACTGAGTGCCCTACTCCCTGCTTAGTGATTTACTTCTTCCTCTCTCCCATTCTGTATCCTGTACTGAAGTATTTTACACTCAGCTACATCAGGAGCAGCTGAGCACATCTGACCCTGCCATAGCTTATGGCACAGCATTTGGGATGCTCACAGCAGACTCACAGCAGAGACAGGAGAGGAAAGCTTGAATTCTCCCAGACAGGAACCAAACCTGATCAAACTCTCATCTCCCAGGAGGTACACTCCTAAGGCTTTGTTTTACTCTTCATGGGGAAACGCCTAAGACGATCAAACCTACCAATCCATCTTTGCATGGATTTTCTTTCCAGCCTTTCTGAACTCCTTCCCATACTTCCACCTCCTTCTCAAAGTGTGGGCACTAGAACAGGGCAGAGAATTTCAACTGCTGTTTCACCAAGGCTGCCTACAAAAGCAAGAGCACTTCCCTTTGCCTGTTTGAACACCATCATTATGGTACTGGACTCAGAATGCTAAAGGAAGGACAGATTGCCATGAGTATTCTAATTACAAATGCACATGGGTAACAGTGGAAAAACTCAGAAGATAACCTTTGAAGTGTAGGATTTTTTCCGTTTTGAGCCTGCTTTTTCATTCTTTCTTTTTCCTTTTCCATCCTCTTCTACTCGATCACCTTCCTCCTCACTGCTGGCATCTGCTGTATTTCCTCCTTCTCCCTCAGTTTCTGATGAGCTCTGTTGCTGAATTGCCTTTAAAATAAGAATAACAATAATAACATAAACAACAAAAATATCACTAAAATCTATTTCTTAATTTTTGTTCTGTACTGAAGACAGAAATACTGGCAACAGACAGCTTACACTTTAGTCATTATAGTCAGGAAGAGCTCAGTTTATTCTTGCAGTTATCAAGAAAAAAGGACTGCAAAGGCAATTTTCTCAGTCTCCACTTGAAAACAGTTATCAGATGCAGATTCTGGGATAGCATGTTCTGAAGGGTTTACACAGGAACAGAAGAGCTAACAAAAATGTGCTTGCCAGAGAACCAAGGGATGCTCAGGAGAGACCTGGCGTGTTCTACTTTGGGCAAACTATGGACACTTTTAGACTTTGGCTACAATAGGACAGACATATTCAGGAGAAAAGGTGGCTGCTACAAGTCCCCCAAAGGGCGAGTTCTCTGTGTTAAGAAAAAGCAAACCCTGACCAGAAGGCTGAGAGCTCTTTGACAGCCCATCTCCCACAGACTATTCACTAGATTTTTTTAAAATCCCCAAGTGTATGCAAAACATCTGTAGGGCTGAAAATATGAAACAGGAACTGAGAGGGGCAGCAGCTTGTCTGCAGGTGGTCCATCTCTCTGGTTTGTAAGGTTTTGTGCTAATAATGTAATAGGTGTTCGCTTTCTTTTGGAGGTGATTTCTGCCTTCAAAGGACCAGGCTTTTTTAATGGGAAAAGTTCTCTGGTTTTCTGCAGCCCACCAACTACTCTTCTCCCCCTCCAGCTTCTCTGACTTTTTGCTCCGGACATCCAACAGGGAGAGCTGTTGTACAGCGGCTACGATCTCCTAACAGCAGCTTAAACCTCCACCTTCTCACCCCTCACAGCTTTGGCAGTGGTGTCCTAGTGTTATAAATTACCAATGTAAAAATCAAAAGTGCGGTGACCTTAAGGTCTGTGTAGAATACACTGAACCTGATATAAAAATAAACAACAGAAAGAAGAAGTCAGAAATTATTCATGTTTATACTGCAGTAAATAAAACCTTCCATTTTTAATTCAACTAAATCTACTGCAGAATTTTCCACTTCACCACCCCAGAGTAGCACAGAAAGCAAAGGGCTCTGCAGTATGGTTAAAGTTCAGTTTGTCACGGAGTGCGAGACCACATTTGTCTTTACAGCACACAATTACTAAAGCTGCTAAACTTTCTAACTCCACCAAAACCAGAACCTTCCATCATCACTCACACAATGTTTACACTGACAAGAAGTCAAAGAAGAAAACGAGAAAGATAAGGAGGAACAGAAGTGAAAGTCATTTACCTGATATCCAGTAAACTTTACTCCAGGGTTGTTTTCTATTTCCCACAGGCCTTCATTAAATCCTTTTCGCTTGTTCGACTTCCCAAACTTATCTTTATATTCTTTATATGGGAAAAGGTCTTTGGGCCCCAGGAATGCACTGCATTTCAACAAAGGTAACATTCATAAAAGGGCTTAAATTCCTCCTCTTCAAAAACCCCCATTATTAACAGTGCAAATGTTTTCCCTATTCCTCTGCTCATTCCATAATTTCTTTTTCTTATGTGTTTGTTTGTTTATTTATTTATTTAACATACTGGCTTTGAGTTACTGCTGTGAGTCTGATTTAATGGACTGGCTCACCATTCTGATGTTTGATGTTGCAAAACCATGCTGGGTCTCTCTAGAAACAACTAAAACGAGTCTCATTTATTACATTAACTGCTGCTGGGAACTGGCACTTGAGCAGTTTAGGAAAGGGCTTATATGACGCAATTGCCCGCGATAGCAAGGGACCAACCTTTCAATCCTATGTGTCACAAATCCAGAAAGGCCTAAAAATACCACATGAAAAGTTACAGCATGTAAGGAGTGCCTAGAAGCCCTAAGACAATACTTATCCCTTGTACTACCAGACAGAAAAAAGCAGGGGCATTTATGGTTATCTACCCTGCCAGTGAGCCTGGGAGCTTCTTTCTTGGAATGAGCCCTCCACATGTCAGATTCTGTGCAAACACAATAACAATGTTCTCTTTCCCAAAAATCTTATAACTTCATATAAGACAAGAAACAATGGGTGAATATAGGCAATGAGTAATACAAGGAAACAATGAGACACACAGGGTGCTTGAGGCCAAATTGTTTTTTAGACAGCACAGCAAAGGAGGGATTTTGTGCTCTGCTGCTGCATAAGTCAGCTATGCACTGGGCCAACTAATTTCAGGCACAGGCAGCACAATGCAGGCAACAAGAATAATAATAAGAAAAGAAGAGTAGTGATTTATCCTGCTTTTTCTACATATTTTATCGTAAAACTCTAATTTCTTATATAAAATTGAAGAAAGCATAATATCCTTTTCATTTGGTATCTATATCTAATGTGTTTAGTGTGCTAAACACATTATCAATATCATGGTACTGGGATGGTTAATCATAAGTTAAATTAAAAACAGTGAAAGCAAAAGAAACCCCTTCATTCCCACATGGAAGATTCTATGTCACCAATGACCGGAGCTGAGCAAGGCACAGTGTCCTTCACTACAATCACTGTCCTACTTTCCTGATGATCTTTGCAATTAACATTAACTCTGTGGTCTCCATTACCACAGTGTCTTAGAGCTCCACCATTTCCAATACAGTTATTCCCATAATATCACCACGAGGTTTAGGGAAGTTCCCTTTTTCGCAGATGGGCTTCCGAGGCTCAGAGATTTGCCCAAGGTCAAACTCGAACTGACAGCAGAGTACAGAGGAAAACCCAACTCTCCTCAGTCTCAGTCTAACACCTTAAACACAGGATCATATTTCTTCCTTGCTGTAAACATTACTTCAGATTAATGCCTGATTTATGTCGATTCAACCCACCATTCACCAATGTGCAAAGTTTCGTTCACTTAAATCATCCCACTGGCCAAGAAGTTTGCCAGTACAGAGCCAACTGGTGGCAAAAGGCATCAGAGGAAAAAAAGTCTCTGGAGAAAGAGCTTCCTTTTAACTACACAGGAGCCAGAATGGCATCCACACAGTTGTCTCATTGAAAAATATCTCAATTATATTCCCACAAAGCCAAGAATGCATTTCTACCTGAAAGCCAAACAGGGATCTCCAAACTAACAGATGTCTCGTTAATATTAAAGGCTACAATAGAGCAAGGGTTCTGAATAAATTTTTATCTGTGCTTTTGCTAATACTAGGAGATGTCTCCTTGTTGCCAAAAATACATACAAACAGTTCTAACACAAATAACAAAGGAAAACCATATGAAGCTTACCATGAGCCACCTTAATTTAGCTCAACAGTAATGTATGAAAATGTTTCTATAGCCTTTTATGTATCGTAAACTCTGAAAAACTGTCTACAGCTTTGTTTGAAATATGTTCATTGCCACTGGGAGAGTATAACAGTTTACACTGCTCTGCTATAAAACTAAGGAGCTGCAATCTACAGCTCATTTTTAAGTTATGCTTTTTAAATTATTAAGGTAGTATAGCTACAAACTGGATGTTACAGTCAGATCATGGGCTAACAAAATCCCAAACACGAGAGATTAGCAGTTTGGGATTCATTAACTTCAGAATAAAAGCGGAGTGTTCCTCAAGAAAAATATTTCCATTGAAAAAATACACTTTGGCTTCTGATTTTGAAGCACCATAAATTTACTTGAACTCTATTCTTTTTAGATTATTTTGTGACAGTAGGAGTAAGGTCACAATATATCAAAACATCAGGTTGTTTCATTACAGCAATAGGAAGAAATATTTTAACTAAAGAGAGGCTAGTTTGATCTTTACTAAGCAGAAACTGCCCTTAAAGATTTTTAAACCAAAATGTGACATATCAGCTATGGGATTTATTATGTTCTGGAATAATGTTAAAATTCAAAAATAAACAATACATTTTTAATAAACCTTCAAACCTCTAAAATGTAATTTAAAATGTCATCAGAAATGATTTTTTCAGTTTTCCATTTTTAAGTATACTAGAAAACATGTTCCCTGCAAGTGGGGAAGGAAAAGCTTTAGAATTTAAACATTTAAAGCAAACCTGCACAGACAGCTCAGTTCTTCCATCACTTCTGAGAGGTCCATCCTACAATGTCCCTAGCACAGATCTCCCAGGAATATATATATATTTTAAAGCTATGTGAGGACTGCATGAGGCTCCAGGGTCTGCTTCCTTTCATTTCACAGACTACCAAGCGAGTTCTCACACAGGACACGAACCCGACCATGTCCAAATACAGCAGCCTGGGCTCTGCTATCGTGTACATCCAAGTGAAACATTTTTCCCCCTGCATCTGAGTTCAGATGACCCTTTAATACATTTATACCAACACTTCCCTTTACGGGAAACAGAGGCACTGGTTATTATTTATGCTGACCATCTATGCAGCAGTGTTTCCACCTACTTTCAGGTTTCGCTTCCATGTCTTAGTACAAATGAGTTGGGCTTACAAGACCTATCTCTAGGCTCCCAGTGGCTTCGGTCAGGATTTGTTCCAATAAAATCACTGGAGATGATGTTTGCTGCAGTGGAAGAATACATTTTCAAAGTAAAAGATCATGTCCATTCACTTACGTTTCATGAGTCCCAAAAAAGAAGATGGGGTATTTATTTGCTGGAGGCTTCACAGCTCCTTCAGGGAGTTCATCAATCTGTGAGACAGAAATGGAGAAAGGATTATTCCCAAATGTGCTGTCCCTTGTCCAAGAATCCCTACCGAGCCATGGAAGTGCTTGTGCAGGTATCCTGCACCCCTGGGAGGTCCCGCTGTGTGCTGGGGTGGGGAAGGGAAGACGCTGCTGATTTTTCAGGCACTCAGGTCATGCAAAGTCAGCATATGACAGAAACACTACAGGGAGACAAAGCAGGAGACAAAGTTTCAATGATTTAATGGGCATTATAATACACAAAGGCAATAAAATCAGGTTTGTTTAATTTAAGTGTTAACTTCAGATGCTGCCTCATCAAAGGCACTGAAGCCCAGAGGGCAATCCTGTCTGTCTCACACAGCCACCTAAATAACTCCTGCAACACACAGGGAACAGATGGCATCTCTGAGACTCTGCAGCCAGAAAACTGGACAATCTCCCATCGGTGCTTCCTGGTGGTGATGGTGGTACGCAGTGTGTAACACACAACACACGCCAGGGAGGAAGGCCTGGGACTCTCCTTCCCCTGCAGCACCCTAACTGGTCACTGCTTCCCTCTGTACTCCATCTCTTCTTTCACACTTCAGCCTTGGCCTCATATTTCTCAAGATACAGCTGCAGAGCAGCTAAGGGAGGGATGGTGAGGGTGCTCTCCTGAGATAAAGCCAGGATTGGGACAAACTCCTCAGGCTGAGCAGTGCCTAAAGCCCATCTTCCGATGTCTGCGTGAGAGCGCTGGTCGTGAGGCAGGAGGTTACGCACATGGCTTAGTCTTGTCCATATCTAATTTTTCAGTCCTCTGCAACAGAAATAACAGAGTCCAGGTGCCTACCCACATAAACCAGAAACACAGCACAGCTTTAAATAAGATGTAAGTGTCTGCCTTCCCAGAAATGGCACTTCTGAGCATATGTGGGTGTCTGAAATTAAGTGTCCAGAGAATTCTCTAGCTAAGAGGGAGCCTAATGAATCTACAGGGCAACACCAGAGCAGGTGAATGGCTCGCTGCCTGGGTCTTAGGCGACTCAATCTCAACATAAGCATGTTGTATTCTGTCAAATGTCACTGGAACAGAGAGCAAAGTGCTGACATGCCCATGCCATACAAAATCTGCTCTTCAGCAGAGCACGGGGATGGAACCTGCATGTTTTCACTCAGAAGCCCAGGCCCACATGTGCTTTCCTTCTCTTTTCCTGCCGAAGGACCCCAAACATTGAATTCTTGTTGATTAATAAACACCAGATTGTTTTCAAAGGATGTTCTCTTTCACTGTAAAGCATCTGCTGGCTACGTAGCTCTCAAAGGAGTACGAACTTTTATAAGAATTCAAGTCTTTTTAGTCTTCCTGCAAGGAGACCCATTGGGGACAGAGAAACCAGAGCCACATGTGGAGCTGTAACATCACAGGACTCCTTTCTGCAAAATAAATGGATGCCTATCATTTAGGCCTAAGTGGAGCTACACAAAAATCAAGGAATATAAGAGCACTTCCAACCCACTCCCTGTCTCTTTTCTGCAGCACGACTCAGGGCTGTGGATGGCGAGGCTCTGGCACGCTGGGTCGTGTGTTCCTGTGCACTCACTACCCAGCACAGGCAGAAGTGTCACACGCCTTCTGGGCACAGCGATTACCCAACTTCTTTTACTTAATAAAGCTAAAGAATTGATAAATAAAAGACAATCTATTATTTAAATGCACATAGAAGAAAGATAGATACTGGTGGAAGATGGAAGTGTACATTCACATTTAGCTCAGCTGTGTGTAAGAGGGAACTGAAACGACATGACAGGCTCTTTGGTGTCCTCTTCATCATCAGGAATACACAGAGGAAAGACTACCAATGGTATTTCTTTAGAACTCATTATTTTCAGACATTAACTATTTGTTTTTAAGTAAGTGCCCATAATGTGGTTATTTGCTCACTAAATTATGATTTAAATACAGGTATCCGACTATAAAAGTGATAAAAAGACTGCAGAGGAAAAACACCACAACTCACTTTACAAACTGATAGCAAGTCAGGGACATAGTATGTCCCACTCTGCAACACATTTTATTCCTCCTTAGAGATGAAAGTATCTACATGTCAGACCAAAAAAGGCTGTGCTGGCAGTTTAGCAGGTATGGGGGTAATACACCTCAACTGTCTGGATGCCACAGCTATCTCCCTCTTTATTACAACAAGGAAGATGTCCAGAGAGATACCAGACCCCAGAAAAATGTGGACTCCCACGACTGAGATGAACAACGTCTGCTGGGACTTGAGTGTGAATCTCATTTGGCTGCTTGAAACACGGCACCAGCTCTGGGCTGCATTACAGAACAGTGCAGTCCAGTGACTGTCTCAGGCCTTTAAGAATTTCTCATGAAATAAGGCGAACAGCTGTAAATGATCAGTAAAGTGGAGGAATGAAGACACACTTAGCAGGGAACGCTGATCAGAAGGGAATGGGGATCTTACATCACACAACGTGCCATGCTCCAGAGCAGTGAGGATCTTCTCCTAAGCAACAGCCCAAGTGGAGTTAAGCCTCATGTCCTAGCCCCAGCACTTTATACTGTTAGCTAAGGAGCAGCACCAAATCAAAGGACAGCACACACATCTGTCACGCAGCTCACCTGCTCTCCATTTCATGGCATATTTCTTTATTCATCCCCCCCCCGACTATGTATCATCACAGGAAACCATAAAAAAGCTTTTCATAGCTTTTGAAAGTTGGCATACACATACAAACACATGCAGTATAAATCTGCACTAAACAGCTCAAGGATAGACCATTAATGCTCCTGCTCCAACATTTCACTGTGGAGCTGAGGTCAAGACTTTTCCTGCCTTCACTGATTTTGCTGTGAGCTCCCCAGCTCTCAGCCTTATGTCGCTGGTATTGTAATGAGGTTGAATGTGAAGTGACACTGCTTTCTTACAGCCATTTAACTCTGCAGCAAAAACTCCAGGGAATGCAGCGAAGGATGAGACCCTCTCTGCCATTAGGAAAGATTTTTTCCCTTTTTACCTGTTTCACATGAATCCTGCATTAAAGACCACAAGAGGAGAGCTTTGCACAGTCCACCCGTTTCCAGCAAAACCGCCGCAGCCCTCTGTGAACGCTGAGCCCCTAAGTGCTTATTTAGCTGCAGCACTCCTTGACGCTTGCTGCTGTTCTGTAGCAACAGAAAGCAAGCAGTACAAGCAGCCATACTGCAGAGCCCTGCCGCTGCACTCAGTCACAATTCGTTCTCATCCTGCAAGATGTTTTGGTTAAATATACTGAAGATTTGGATCTGATATTTTCCCCCATTTCAGTGAGATCAAAGACGGGGAGAGAGGGAGGGCGAGAAAGAGAGCAAGCGCGTGAGCACATGAGCGAGAAAAGCATCACTGCTTCAAACCGGGAACAAAAGAGAGAAGTGCACCCATACTAGGACACAGTGTTGTAGTCACAGAGACCTCACTAATGACTAAAGCATCTGTCTATCAGAGAGAGACTGCGATTGCATTTTGCTCCTGGAGGGAAACAAACAGATTCTAAAGTGTCTGTTATAACCTGCAATCAAACAGGAGATTCATCCCCTCCCGGACCAGAGCAGACAGTGGGCTGGAGCTCGCTGCCACAGAAATCAGTGAGAGCAGAGCATGGCGTGCAAATCTGATACGTGCATCAGCAACATCATGGGCAGCCGCTTCAATTATGGCTAAAATTAAAGCAGGTGGTTTCAGATTTCGAGTTTTATCCCCTTTGCTCTCGTTGCTGTCATCTGCTTAATGAATAACAATTGCTTTCTTTTTACACAACCTCAGCAGAGCTGCACTTCCCAGCATTTGTTTGCCAACCAAGCAGCAGAGCTTTAAAGACATAACTGTGCTTTTTTTCAGTAAACAAATGCCAGGCTTCTAAGGTCAGGAACACAACAGAAAATTCAGCCTGGACCTCTCAAGCCAGAGCAGGGCTTTATCAAACAGTGTTGCTAGGGACTACCAATGTGCCGGCAAGAAATCTGCCTCCTTACATTGTATTTGCAGGCTGGATATGTATATGCAGCCTGGATATTTTGCTCTCAGTGGTGCTGTCTAATTGCTGACTTCCCAGGTAGTATTTCCAACTGGCTGGGTTTGGCAGTACTCATACTGCAGCATCATCTTCCCAGTTGCCATGAGGTTAGGGACCCTGGGGAGAGAGGCACTGGCTGGGTGCGTTGGACTGGAGCTGCAAAGCTGCAGCCCTGCGAGAAGGACGAAGGTGCAGAGCTGCCCTCCAAGAACAACAGCAGCTCCCAGAAGCACAAATCATCCCCGTGCCTGCCTGTAGGAAGAGGTGCCATATTCCAGACCCGTGGAGGAGCTCCCTGGGAGGGCTGGTGCAGAACCAGAGGAAGCTGCACCCCCTCCTGGGTGTTCTGCTCCGCAGAGCTCTACATTCCCTGCAAAATGTGAAACATGTCTCTCCGAGACGCAGAGAAAACGGCAAGCTTTGTCTCTCCGCTTGTCTATGTAAAGCAGCTTTCTGTGGAGGGTTTCGTTACTGCAGCAGTCAAGAAAGGGGCAGTTCTGCCCATCAAGGCAGAAGGGCATCCCAGATGCATCTTCTTCCGCTTGGAAGGACAGCAAGTGTCATGTTGTATGGCTATCACAAAATCTCTGTGCTGTGGATAAGCTGCTGCTCAGAAGCAGGAATTCCTGGCTGTCAGCGTGGCTTTCGGACCAGACCATTATGTTCCAACAGGATTTTACACTGCAGAAAAAGCGCTATTTTGCAAAAATACCTATCAGGTCCGCACATACAGACAAGGAAGCTTTACTTCAGCATGCAGAGATGCTTGTGTGGGCACTGAAACCACAAGAAATTTCGCAAAAAGAGGGAATTAAAACTGCAGAGCAGTAATCACCGATTGTTTTGACATACTGTAAATGCCTTTGATTGGCAAAAGCACACAGAAGCATTGCAGAGATCAGTATCTCCCACTGAAATCCCTGGAGTCGCTGCACAGCAGTCGAGCAAAGGCC